CATGTACATATTTACATTCATGGCAAATACTTTCGATTTGATTCAGAAACTAGTTGCTAAGCTTGCATTTTTGTAGGTACAACGACCATATATTAAATCATAAAAAACCTTCTCATGGCATTCATCACATACCTTTTTACTGAACAAGTACCTAGCTACCATGCAATGATTCTACAATTTGTCCTCAATCCATCTATATCTCAACTGACACAATGAATTTCAAATACCCTAACAAAACCTATAACTGTACATCAGAAGAATGCAATACTACAAGAACTATGAATTTCTTAAGTTATTCTCACATGCTGGAATCAGGAATTTTGAAACTCTACTTTTGTCGTCCATTTCTATGTTTGATTGAGCCATCATATAGAACCGTTTTCGTTCTTCAGTCACAAGCTTTCACACAAATCTTGAATTTTTACACATCATCTTGAACCATGCTCCAGTCTTTCCAACAAGGTACTATGTAACATCAAAGCAATTTTGATTTGTTACAACAGCTTCAGATCATGATAGGCTTGAGGGTTTGTTACACCATTTGCCAGACAAATCTCTACAAAATGTGTATCAATTCCCAAACTAAGTAATTGATCATATCAGTATTTGCAGTTTCCACACAATGTTTCATAATACTATTTTATGTTTGTATAAAGAAACTCAAATAATCCACAATTCACAGCAATGACTCAGAAGCAAACAAACATTGCGCCAGATTTCGTATGAAACGCGCCATCGTCCTGAAGTTTCTACCACAGACGGTAGTTCAACCGCAGCCGTAGTGCGAAAACCCCTGCCCGCCTTACCCCACGGCGGAGCTCGGTTGCAATTTGTAAATACGCTCCCAAACCGCCATGTCGCCATCACCGCCATCACCATTGCTGCAGCTGTTCCCAACCGCCTCAATCGCCGCCGTTTTGCCAGCAGTCGCGCCGCGGAATGGCAGAAGCTCCAGAGTAGCCTCCAGCGCCCCTCTCCGCACGTGTGCAGGTGCACTGCGGCCGCCGGGTCCGACGTCCAGGCAGAACATGTTATTTCCATGCTGCTCCGACGGTGGGCTGGTCTTGTTTGGGCGTTCCTCCACTGTGACGTCAGTCACGCCTGCCCCGGCCAGGGCGCAGAGGCCGACATGTCACCATCCGGTTGCGGTCCTCAGTCGGGTCGCAACGTGTACCTCTTCCGCAGCGTGGAGCGCGCTCCCGCTGGGCAGCGATACAGCCAAAAGTAGCATGCGGGCGGCCAGCGCTGCGCCGGACAGCGGACCCATGCCGGGGGTATGCCGGTCTCGGCCATTAGCGGGGTCGTCGGGGCCGAGGCTGTACATACAGCTTGTGACCGCGTGAGCCGCCAATCGAAGCTCACGGCTTATAAGCTCGACGCGGGCATCACACGCCGTCCCGATGGGAGCTCCACGACGCCGCCGCGAACTCCAGCGCGGCTCGCAGCGCGAAGACCAGTACGGACGGCCGGGGCAAACGGCGTGCGGGAGTCGCAGGCGACGTTCTGCGGACAGAAAGGGTTGGGCATAAGCTGGTCGGCAGGACACTCTTGAGCCGAGCCTTTGATGTAATTACAGATGATCCAGAAGCATGCACTACAATTCATGACACACTATTCTCATTTATGTATTTGCTACATATGATATGATATAACTACCAGCTCATGATCAGTGACGCATTCTGGGCAATATGTTCTAAAGTGAAGTAACTGAAGTTACAGCTTAAAAGCTTAAAAAAAAACAGCTTAAAAAAAACACACACACACATTCGATAGCTTATGAGAATAACATGCCTTGTGTGCTTAATGCAGGAAAATATTTTTTTCACTTTTTTAGAAACAGCAAAAGAGTTGTCAACAAGCCATGTCAACTATCTAAACAATTTTTATGGAAACTGCTCTAGCTAGCTTAAAGTTCCACAACGTTTCCGGAGCACCGTACCCAAACTCAGTTCATGTTACAAGAAAAAACAGTAATAATGCCTCCTAATTTTGAATGAAATATAGGTATGAGTAATTTGATTTGGAAAGCAACAAATTTCCGCACATCATTTTAGCAAAATTACTATTTTCTTCAGCCATCAGGTTACACAAATCTATAGTAAACTTTATGATCTAGTTTACACAAAACCAAAGCCCCGATTTTAACAAATGTAGATTAAATTTAAACAATCTTAAAAAATGTATCGTGGAGAAAATGAAAAGTGTAGATTTGTAAAGCCGGGATATTTCACGGATTAGGCACTTAAAGAAATATCTTCACCTTTCTTTGAGCCACCAGCCTTCACCCAAGTTTTACACGAATGTAGTGAAGCAGACAATGTGGCAACTCAAAATTGTGATGGTTTGAGATAATTATGACGGTAAAAGAAAAAGCAACACAAGGTTCCTTACCCTCGTTTTTTCACATGGGTTCAGATGAGGCTTCAACTGTTGCCAACCTGAGGAGCTATAGGGACTTGAGCTTTCCAAAACTCAATTTCTAAGGGCACTGAGCAGTGTTTGGCTTTCACACGAATGCGATAGTAAGTTATATGAAGTTGACAAAGCAAGCAAAGCAAACCATGATGCCCCGCGCGTCCGCCCGCCACCACTTCCCGCGTCCGACTCCCGACCGCCGCGTGACCCGAGGCGCCCGGCGGTCACGTGACCTACCGGCCGGGACTGCAAACGGCCTTCACCACCATTCTTGTATGACGTCATATCCTACTGAGGTGCTGATTGGTCGGAATTAGATACCTGAAGGTAATTATCTGCCGTAGTTATTTTTGTTTCATTGTTTTGCGTGTTTTCTTATATGAAATGTAATCAAAAAATTTGCCATATTTTAATCACCATTAAAACATAACTGAATAGGTATAAAAGAGAACTCGATATATACTTTCCTTGTTTTTAAGAATTCCGGAATTAGATACCCGAGGGAGCAAAGAGGGAGCAAGTTGCCACGCTGATTTGATACCTCATAGTCGAAAGGTGGGCTACTAGAACCGAAAATTGCTGTGTTTGTAAATAAATAAGTGATTTGAGGGCAAAGAATGCCCGGATTTAAACTTCTAAAATTATTTTGAACATAAATATTTCAGTTTGAGGGATGTTAAGGCCTCAAAGAGTAGGTACTTTTCAGGTATCAAATAGGTTCCTCTGCGAAAGTTCCGTCGTGAAAACGGCTATAATGACTCAGCATATCATATTTGTTTTAAATAATTGATTGCTTTGCATCATTGCACAAAAAGTAATAAAATTCCAAACGTAAGGGCCACTGGAATTTCGGGTTTGTAAGTACAACGTTTCCTTTCAAGTTTTTGGTCTTCGTGAAACAGAAAGTTTGCGATTTCGATGTTTCTTACAAACTTTTTTCTTGTAAAAAAGTTGGTAAATTGTAAACTCAAAATTCATGCCCGAAGGTTTCGTGAAATCCAAATTTCAAATGTTGGTAATTATTTCTTCTAAACTCAAGTTTTTTCTTTGTAATTACACACTTTATTTGTTAGTGAAACAGGCCTCTGGTCGGGAGATTCCGAGTAGCGAGGAAGTTAGATGCCAAAATTTGACGTGCCTTTCGAAGCAGGACTGCGGACACGGCCACATGTCCCACTCAATTGACTTCAACTGGCCGCCGCTGCTCCCACCAACCGAAGACTGTCAGGAGTCTCCAGTGATAGAGCGCCGGATCGACTCGAAGCCATGCTCTCACCACCCGTCCTTCGACGCTAAAGGGGATGGAAAACCAATCACTGTGTTGTAGTGTGTGTATGCGTCACTGAAAAATCAACGAAGCAAATGATTGGATGTTTACATGAAACACATGTTACGTGACACAGTTGTGAACCGCAAGCTTACCATGAAGCTATAGCACGCATACACATATGTCATACACTGGAAACAATTTCACCCAAAACCAGCGAGTAAACCGGTGCCTCGCGGGTATCCTATCCGCAACATTTTTAACCACCCTCCCAGGAGTCAATTTAGGGCATTACACTTCGCAATTCACTCTGGAAAGTAGTAACCCTCCACGACTATTCGCGCACCAGTGGCTCGCGACCCCACCATCGAAAGGCATTCATTGACGCCTACCTGGCAGACGCACCCCACAAATCCCTAAGAGAAGGGTTATACCCACCAAGCCATACTCTTCGCCAACCAAGTCACGAGGGGCCAAAAAACACCCACGCTTGTCCATATTTGAGGGAAGATATCTATAAAATGACAATCTCACGCCGAGAAAACACCGGTGAGAAAGTTTCACATCGGTTGGAAAGGTAAAATCGAACTCCCACAGAAAATGTGACATGACCCTATCACCAGCAGTCATGCAGACCGCCCGAAAACATGAAATTGTGTCGCCACTGATTTCGTGACCTATATAAGAATTAAAATGGTTTCACTTGGTAGTTTCGGAAGAAAAAGCGTTGCCAATCGTCCCGTGATGAGTATTGCAGAGGTTTTAAAGATGCACCCTAACAATTGCAGGTTCGCCCCCACTTTAAAACCGCCAAACAATGTGCCAATATACCTATCATTGGTGCAAAAAAATGTTGTAATTCAAAACTGTATATGAGACAGCGCCATCTACAGGGTGATTTTTTTACAGGGCAAAAAGTTGTTAAAGGGACCCTCCCACCTTCAAAAAAGTTATTGAATTGGCATGAAAGTGATGTCCCTTGGTTCAGAAAGAGCGAAAACGAATATCTACCAAATTTCACCGAAAAATATTCACTGGTTTTCAAGATATTAGGCTTTTACTTTTGTTTACTTTTTGGGATCTCCCTGTTACTAGCGACTTTATTTGGAAGCAATAATTTGGCAGCCTTAAAGTGCGGCAGACGTTGCGCGCAAAGCAGCGTATACCACCACGTGTTAACGATGGTTTTAGTCTAAGATTTAAAAATCGTTAGATCTCCGCTGACGTCACAAATTCTAAGGGGGCATACCAATGCATTAGCCCCTTAGAATCCGAAAACTGCAAGTTTGAAATTCCATATCTTCGAATTAAAGCATTTCTCGATGTTGTGAGTGCCCAAACCGGTATTTGCAGGCCATGGCCACCAATTTGGCTATCTCAACTCAAAACTAATGTTAAGGTGGGAGGGTCCCTTTAAGCCTAGAGATGCCAAAACATATAATAAACGCGAAAATAGTATATCCACGTGAAAGGAAATTGTTTGCCATTTTGTTTTCAGGAACTTTTAGAGACTTCTTGGGACTCATTCTGTTGTGAAGTTCCGTGAAAATGGCGCACAACAAAATGTTTTCCCCAAAATCGCCAATTACTCCAGGCTTGCGTGCATTAAAACTGTGCTCACTTCGAGCACGTTCTGTAAGCCTAAACGGAACTCAAACTCAAAGTTTTTGTGTGCAAATGAAATGTCAGAATGTGCTTATTACAAAGATATACATTTGCTGTCAGTTGATGTGTTTTCTGGTACCGCCATTGCTCTTCATTTTTTGCCCTGTATAAAAATCACCCTGTAGTTGTGGTGTTTGAGCCTTCACAATTTACCAGTAGATCCAACTCTTTAAGGAAAGGTTATGTTAAGGTTCGCCATCCACGGATACGCGTATACGATATCTCGAGTAGTTCCAACTCTTTCAGTGAGGGCTATGCCAATGACTCGACACCCGCGGGGACAATGCCCGGTGCTGGGTATATACCTGCCTTATCTTCGGACTGCATGTACGGTGCATATTTTTTAGTAATAACGCGGGGTAGTCTGCTTACCCTCTTACCCTCTATCTGGACCATGACGAGTTAATCCGCATATACCACCCGCAGTGCAAGGCTGAATTCGCCAGCTCCGGGTATAATTGTTTTCAGTGCGCACAATCGCATACGTGGTGAACAGTGAACACATCCACTGCATTCAGCAATGTTACAGCCCAAAGTGCTTTGTGCACGGCAGCAGTGTTTGCACAATGTTTAGCACTTGTGTCCTTAGTTTGCTCGCAGCTCACTCAACCGATGCACTGGTGGAGGAATGGCCGGCCCGGCCGGAGCCGGTAGGACGGAGGGGGACCGGTGTCCGAACGATCGGCCGCGGCTCACAGCAGCCGGTGGTGCCCGGTGGCGGTCGGCCGCGCGGCGCTCGGCGGCGGCGCGGCCCACTCCGGCTCGGCGCCCGTCGGCAGCGCCCGGCGCGCCGCGCGGCGCCGCTGCCGCAGGCCCACGGCCACGGCCACGGCCAGCAGCACGGCGGCCGTGGCCGGCACGGCCATCAGCCACCACCAGAGCGTACCGCCGACCGGCGATGGGGCGGCCGGCGGCGGCGGCGCCTCACCGGCAGCCACCAGGCCGACGTTACAACCGTCCGTCTTGCACGTGCACGACAACCTGTCGTCGCAGCGCGGGTCCTGGTCGCCCTGGTTGCCGCAGTTGCGGTACACACCTGAAACAGGCAGCGCTGCCGTGTGAGCCAGGTGGGCGCCATCGGCGCGGTTACCAGCCGGAGCCGAATGCTCGGACCGTCTCGCCAGTGACTCATTGTTGAGCGAGTCTGCTCGGTCAACGTGTGGACTGTTGATGCAGGAGGCAAGATGCCAACAAAACAGCGTGAACAGTGAACACTCAGCACAAATGTTTGTCTCTCGAATGCAATTGAGAGTCCAAGAGAAAAACAGCACGCTCTAAGCGCAAAAAAAAAAACTAAGCTTATAAGAGGTTTATCTCAAAGTCGAATGATATTCTAATTCAATATACCCTGAATGATATCACAAAACGTTACAAGCAATGACACACAGTTTCATCCACACACAGAAAAATATTGACACCGTTAGCGGTGTAATTGCACAGTACATATCTGAGCACTTGAGGAAAGTTAATTTAGTCCCTTCCCCGCTTAAATTACTCGTGCTTCTAAATGAACACCAGGAAGAAGGTAATAGAACATTGTTAGGAGGGTTGGGTGTTTTACTACATGTAGCAAAACACCCAACCCTCCTAACAGTGTTCTATTACCTTCTTCCTGGTGTTCATTTAGAAGCGCGAGTAATGTAAGCGGGGAAGGGACTAAATTAACTTTCCTCAAGTGCTCAGATATGTACTGTGCAATTACACCGCTAACGGTGTTAATATTTTTCTGTGTGCAGGGTATATTGAATTAGGTTTCATCACCTTCTGCTAAGTCCTCAAGGATGCATGACGTGCCAACACATTGCTGCGAAGGCATGCAATCATATCTGCGAGCCACTACTCTGATCAAAATGATAAGAGGAGCTAGCTTCCGATGGCGCCAGCGTGCCACCGTTCCGGCGAGACGGGCTACTCGAGGAGGCGCGCGACGGGCGTCAGATAGTGCGTCGGCCGGCGCCGCGGGCCGGACCGATACGGCCGCTACCCGCCCCTGTCGCCCACTCAGCGGGCCCAGTGGTGCCGCCCACTCACCCACCGAGATTAGCCACCAATGGTGCACTATCACAGGCCTAATTCACATGTGCCATACGTGAGAGAGTGGAAGAGCGCCGTAATAAACAGCATTGACCTGGTATAGGTGGGCAAATCTCTCACAATCTTATTGACCTTTTGATCAGGCATACACATTATACACATACAGTATAACGGGGGAGTTTGTAAGTGCACACAAAGGCAGCATCAGTCGTCCATTCACAGAACACAGAATGTCGTCATCAGTGATCAATCTTACTTAACCCTCGCCCTGCACTGGCGGGGGGGGGGGGGTATTTTTCATGATATCACACGTGCTTTGACTTTACTTCATAGAGATCCTGTACAACTCTGTAAAGCTGTTGTAACTCTTTTAATTAATAAAAGAAAAAGTCTACCAGAACTATATATATATATATATATATATATATATATATATATATATATATATATATTTAGGGGAGAGTGGGGAAAGATGCCCAGGGTTTTACTATGTCATATATTATTCGAAAATGACGATCGGAAAGCAAAAACTTGGAGTTTCAACGGAAGCCGACATCATTTTTCTCCAAAAATATCACAATTTCGTGCCTGAAACATGATTACTTTTTTTGCTATTAAGTATTTTCCTGAAGAAGTGAAAGGGGGCATCTTACCCCACAGGGTGGGAAAGACGCCCCCTGGCGTTGGGGAAGATGCCCCCTGCACTATAAGTGACATAAATGGGCACGTGAATCGCCTGAACGAATCAGTAGTCCCTTCGAGCCTATAATAGACACTAAACGTCATCGTAAGGGCCCTCAAAAGTAGTCGTAAGGGGCTTCAGAGGTCATCGTTAGGGCCATCATAGTCCAGCGCGGCCAAACAAGCCTCCGTGGTGGCGTTCGGAGACCACTGTGGGGCCCTTATAGGTCTTCATGATGCTTGAGGGCCCTCGAGCCCATCGTGGGGACCTCAGATGCCAGCGCGGCCCGTGGAGCCAACGTGGGAACCCTCAAAGGATGTCGTGAGGGGCCCTGGAGCCAATAATGGGGCCCATAGAGGCCGTCGTGAGGGCTCTCAGAGTCGAATGCCGCCCAAAAAGTCGCTGTGTGGGCCGAGAGACCGGTATGGGGAGCACCCGACCGTACTGAACTTTCAATAGTCCCAGATCGGCTTTTGTCTCTCATCACAAGTATGTAATAAATGATTTGACGGGCTGATGAAGGACAGCTGCCTACGGATTTAGCGTCTTTCCCCATCAGGACAGGGGGCATCTTACCCCAAGGTACCGAAGTAACATTAAATCAGTACAATTTGTTAGCCATAAAACTACATCCTGAAATAAACTGTTTGGGACACAGTACACGCATGTTAATGTATCACGACTATAGCAAGGGACGCAAAAATTATCTACCTTCTTTGATATTTACAATGTTTTGACACCAAAATATTTTTTGAAAGCAGGAAATAAAAAAACATGCAATCACCAGCCAGCCGTTGCCCAACTGAGCTTCGCAAATTTTTGTGCAGTTAACAAGGCAGGCTTCTGCTTTACGCTAAGGACATTAATTTCCAGGTTCGATTCTTTGTTTCGCCGCTAGAGAGGGTGGCAGATTTGGCAGATTAACCCGCACCCCCGTTGGGTCTCCCGAGCAACGCACCCTGTTGGGGGAAGGCAATTTGCCACCCCCCCCCCTACGATCTCGAGAACCACGCAACATAGCGACAAGCAACCAATGGCGTTGTATAGCCCCAACAGGGAACTACCTTGTGACCCAATTTCATTGACCTAGTTCAAACCGATGACGTCACAGGTCAGGTCAAATGTCAAATTTTCACCGTTTACAGGCATTTCAAGAAATGCGTTGTAAAATCGAGTAAAATGCATTTCATTGAAAATCATCGAAGGGGTATTGTTCGTCAAACGCATATTTTGCTATTTGAGGTCACTGATACCAGGTCAGGTCACAGAGTTCAGGTCACTGAGGGTCACAGTTTGAAAATATTATGTGATGCATGTAGCTCACAAAACCCGCATCGCAGTGAAATAACCGTAATATGCTTCTGAGGTTACTGCGGGTGATCCATAGCTCCCTGGTGGTCCATTTTATACGCCAAATGCGATTATGTGGGTCAGGCAGCCTTTGGGGTCAGTTTAGATTATGTTTTGGTGAATGTCAAGTCAAGGTCAGGTCAAGGTCAGGTCAAATTAGGTCAAATTTCAAAGTTAATATTTTTTGCATAAAATGGGTATCGATTCGATGCAGCTCGTCACGGGGAGTTCAATGGGAAATAAGGCCCCCTCCCAACGGGGAGCGTTGCTCGGCAGACTCCAACGGGGTGCGGATTAAGCTATGTAGACATGATGCAAATCTAGATCAGAAATACGGTCGCTTCAGAGGATTTCATGTTAGTACTAAAAGCGATGCAAGTAGGTACTTGTTCAACCGTCATTTTCAGCGCTCCGCGCTTACGTAACGTAAATTCAAGGTGAGCTATTGGCGGCAAGGTAGTGATTTGGCAAAATGGTTTTAATTTACAGTATAATTTGTTGACTATCAGAAAATGGGACTAGCTCAGATTTTGTGGAGAGAGATCATATCCTACCTTTAAACGCCTTGATTCAAAATGTGTCACGCAAGACATGCTTCAGAGGTTAACCGTTCATCTTTGACCTGAGCTGTGACGTCATCGGTGACCCCGAGGTCAATGAAATTTGGTTTCCTTCGACAAATTAGACAGGCCTTTCGAACGCCGTTTGAATTTCGCGGATCCGTCCAGTAGTTTCGGAGATACGAGGGGGGGGGGCAAAAAATAGCCCCTCCCCCCACCAGGTCGCGTTATAAACAGACCCCACCAGGGCGCGGGTTAACGGGCCCGCCGTTTTATGCAAAAGTTAAGTGTAGAACGACGAACGTGTGTGTGAGATTTGTTGAACGCTTTGGGGAAGATGTTGGAGCTTAATGACTTATCAGGTCTAAATGAGAGTGAAATTGAAATTCACTTGTCTACTAACCCCTCTAAATAATTCAACAAGCCCATCACTCATTTAATAAACCTTTTGAAGGGGAGTGTGTAAGTTGCTCTTGTTTCATCCGCTCACCGTCACTCGCCTTGATCGTCCTCGAATGCGTCCTCCTTGCACGTGGAGACGTCCGCCGGGCAGGCGATCAGCTCGCCCCGGCTGCCGCCCGAGTCGCAGACGGGCACACCGCTGGGGTTGCAGCTCACGTCGTCGTAGCAAGAGCGATTGACGCAGTGGTAGCACTGAATTCCCGCGCCTGAAGTCAGGAGGAGACGCTTGTGAGAACGATAGGGCCAGGAGCGGCGCCAGGGATTTTTGCTAGGGGGCCGGTGACGGATTGACTGACCGAAAACCCCAAAAGTAGATACTGATTGTGTATGGAAAAAAGCGAGGCACGTAACGCCGCGAAACTTGATAAAGCCCAAAACGCATCGAATGGTGCATCCCGTTTCCAAATTTATCCTTGGACACCGATCACCTTGTCAAGCATCCTTGCCCCTAAATCAAAATTTGCAGTCTTCCCAAATGTCAACCATTAACCCTCGCCGGTATAGAGGGGTGATGCAACCCCCTAAGGTTTTTCACGAATAACTCGCGAAAAAAGCGGCCGATCGCAACGAAACTTTCAGTACCCTCGAGTTGATCAATTTTACACCTACCCTGAAAATTTCATGACCCTGACCTAAATGACCTTTGACCTGTGACCTACTTTTCGAGACCATGTTTGGCCGGAATCGCGATTCGGCGTATGTCGGCTCGCATTAATGGCGCATTTGCAGTCTTTTCGTGGTTTCAAGCGTTCAAACATCTGAAATGATGTTGGTCCCATGCATTAGGGTGGGTGTCAAGGTCACCTGAAGGTCAGATCAGGTCATTGACCTTTGATGACCTCGGTTCACGTTTTCGAGTTTGACATGTTTTAGGCCAGTTTTGGAGCTGAATTCGATTTAACAACCATATGAACGTTTACGAAGTAGTTTTGGTGCCTTCGTAACATATTACGAAGCTGTCAGAGGCGGTTGACACCTACTACGAATACCCGGCACGACCCCTACTGGTTGACCTGACCTGACCTGACCCGACCTGGCCTAAATGCATGAAAACATCATCTGTGATCAAAACTAGCATGATATTCGTGATCAGCACCCCGAAACACCCCATAGCAGCCACACTTTACGACATTCTAACAGGTCCCGATTTTCCCGACTTCTGGGTCATTGACCTGACCTGGAAGGTCAACCAATGACTAGGGCCTTACAATTGGGTATCTTCGGCTTCCTCTCGTCACGGGCAACACGCTCGTTTTTTTCCCGCGAAGCTCTAGCTCGATCAGGGGCGAAACAGCAAGGGGGGTCCAACGGACCCCCCCCCCCCCCTTATGCGTTCGCGGCTGGAAAAACACCAATACGGGCGAGGGTTAATATAGAGTCGGTCAAGAAAGCTGGAGTGTCACGACGGAGGTCGTCAGAGCGGCGAGAGCTGAGGATACAACATAGCTGAACGTCAACAACAGCTGAACGTCTTTCACTTTGGGGGGGGGGCGGGGGTGGTCAGCCCTGAATTTTGCAGGATGACCACTCAGGACATTGTAAGAAGCATGCATGATGCAGTGCTGTTGCACATTCAGCTGATGAATACTGCTTGGTTTTCTCTCGCATATAAAACAAAAATAGTGAGTCATTTCTATCGTATTCCCATTTTAAGCTGCCTTTACCTTACCTTTTACCTTACTATTTATCACTCTTCTCTCTCTCCCTCTCTCTCTCTCTCTCTCTCTCTCCCCTCTCTCTCTCTCTCTCCTCTCTCTCTCCTCTCTCTCTCTCCCTCTCTCCCCTCTCTCCCCTCTCTCTCCCCCTCTCTCTCCCCTCTCTCTCTCCTCTCTCTCTCTCACTCACTCACTCACTCACTCACTCACTCACTCTCACTCTCTCTCTCTCTCTCTCTCTCTCTCTCTCTCTCTCTCTCTCTCTCTCTCTCTCTCTCTCTCTCTCTCTCTCTCTCTCTCTCTCTCTCTCTCGAGTCACAGTCCCATCAACGCACTATGAGTCAGCCAGTACACGGCGCGAGTCCGTTTACCAACTGTGAACTCACTGACTGGCTGCGTGACCATGCACTTTCAATCCTACATTTAAAAGGCCACGATTGAGTATACCTACTCGCTGCTTTAAAGCGTGCAGACGAAAGCGACTGCCTTACCTGAGCTAATTGAAGGAAATTGATATCAACTCTTGCGTAAATTAGTATATTTCAACATTTTGCTTGCATATGTCATTTCTGTTCTCTTGTTCGTGGATAACTATTCACTTCCTGATTGCGTTTTTCACCCACCATGCAGCAGGCACCTTGATGACTACAGATTGACTACCATGTCAACAGGCGTGCGTGGCACACGGGCTCACAGGCACGGCGGCCTCCCTGCTGCGCGACAGCAAAATCGGCCCATTCCGCGCCCGCCGACTGCGAGTCATTCGTCGTACGGGTCACAAAGGCCCGCGACAGAGCGGGCTCACCGGCCGCCGTCCTGCCATTTATGGCCATCAAACGGCAGGAGGTGCACAAAACCTGCCATAAACTCATTGCTTCGGCAGTTAATGACCTTAATAGCACTTTCTGGTTGTGTTGGCGCAAAGGCAATGTAACTATCAACAATCGATACTGGATCCTGACGTTTTTGCCCGCGATTACAGAATTGCCTTACCAATAGAAGGTTCAAAGTTGGAGTGCCTGACCTTTGATTTAACCCTCGCCGGACCTATTGGTTTTCTACATACGCGAGGAATATTTTGGCCTTCCAGGTGATGTGTGACAAAATTTATGTAGCAAAATAAATTATCTGGGGCGTCTTGCCCCAGGCTACCCTACTAACTTACCAATATCGTTCGAGGCGGCTGGACGTAACAACTACGATAGGGCGAAAACTATCGCTCTGCGCCCTTTATCCCAAAAATTTGTTACAAACAAAGGAGCCGATATAGGTAGGAGTCAAAACCTAACCTCAGACTCAAAGATTAGGTACCGTTTGAGCAGAGATCCTGAAAGTCGTATCAGGTGCTGCGTCTAGTAACGGCAAATAGGCTCAGTTTTTTTTCGCGTAGCTTTACCCGCGCACCGACGGGGGCCCGCGCCAGCTTATAGTTCCGTCAGGGGAGGGGGCAGATAACCGCCCCCCCCCCACCCCCACCCCCCACTGAGATCTCGAAAACAAAGCAAGATAGCGACAAGCGATAAACGGCATGGGGTACACACGAACAAGATCTACAATTTTTGCTGTGGTCATTTTCAGGTCAGGTCAAAGATGACATCACAGGGGTCAAAATAGTTAAAAAGCGGCGCTAGATAGGTATGAAGTTTTTTCTCGAATAACTTTCGGAGTAGCCAAGCTTGGAACAAACTAATAGCACCATCGTGACCCTCTTGTCGATCCGCATCGAAACATGCCTGTGATCGAAACATGTCAACCTTAGACCTTAACCTCGAAAGGTTAAGGTCTAAGGTTGACCTCAGGTCACGTGACCTCAATTTTACTATGTATATCATTCGATGCGCTTTGACGAGCTGAACACAATGAGACCATCTTCGCAGCTGTATCTTGTTCCTGTAAGGAGTTATTGGCAAAAAAAAACCTTCGGTGACATTTGATGACGTCACATAACCTTACAGTTGCCCAAGAGCAAAAAAGGCCTCAAGGTAGTCAAGGTTGATCGTATATTAAGTCATTAATGGTATATTAACCCTCGCCCGTATAGGGGGAGGGGTTGAACGGACCCACCCCCCTCGGTTTTTCGCGAATAACTCGCTTAAACAGCGGCCGATCGCGATGAAACTTTCAGTAGCCTCGCGTTAATTAATTTTACACATACCCTGAATATTTCATGACCCTGACTCTAATGACCTTTGACCTGTGACCTACTTTTTGAGACCATGTTTGGCCGGAATCGCGATTCTGTGTATGTCGGCTCGCATTAGCCGCGCGTTTGCAGTCTTTTCGTGGTTTTAAGCGTTCAAACATGGGATATGATGTTGCTTCCATGCATTAGGATGGGTGTCAAGGTCACCGGAAGGTCAGGTCAGGTCATTGACCTTTGATGACCTCGGTTCACTTTTTCGAGTTTTACATGTTTCTAGGCTGGTTTTTGGAGCTAATTCGAATTTAGCAACCATTTGAACATTTACGATGTATAAAAATGCAAGTGTCAGCAAGGCCGTTCCGTCGCTCATTACGTTGTAAAAAACACTTTAACTCCCGACGTTTCGCTGTTTACTGCTTAGTCATGGGAATGATGTAAACAGTAAACAGCGAAACGTCGGGAAACAGCGAAACGTCGGGAGTTAAAGTGTTTTTTACAACGTAATGGGCGACGGAACGGCCTTGCTGACACTTGCATTTTTACACATCTGTCAAATAATTATATTAAAATTTACGATGTAGTTTTGGTGCCTTCGTAACATGTTACGAAGTTGTCAGAGCTAGCTGTGGTTGCCACCTACTACGAATACCCTTACTGGTTGACCTGACCTGACCTGACCCGACCTGGTCTAAATGCATGAAGACATCATCTGTGATCAAAACTAACATGATATTCGTGATCAGCGCCCCGAAAAAAACCGTAGCAACCACGCATTACGACTTTCTAACAGGTCCCGATTTTCCCGACCTTTGGGTCATTGACCTGACCTGGAAGGTCAACCGATGACCTAGGACCTTAAAATTGGGTATCATCGGCTTCCTCTCGTCACGGGCCACACGGTCGTTTTTTTCCGCGAAGCTCTAGCTCGATCAGGGGCGAAACGGCAGGAGGGGGTCCAACGGACCCCCCTTATACGTTCGCGGCTGGACAAACACCAATACGGGCGAGGGTTAAGCTATTCCGACGCTTTTAAGCGAAGAAATCAGGCAGTTGATTTTCCCCCATTGACTTATAATGGGAAGGCCAAGAAATTGACCTGACCTTATCGATATCAAAATTCCGTGACATAAAAATTGTAGCTACTTACGAGTTATGACTTCATTACATCCTGCAACTTTCAAAGGACTCCGTTATCTACTGTAGCTCTGACATGGTGACAAATTTGCAAAAAAGTTAGTTGAGGTCGAGTCATTCGAAGTGACCTGGTGAATTGACCTTGAAAGGTAGGAGGTTCAGCCTTGCACACTGTGTGAAATTGATCGGGATATAGTCATGCCAAATTTCGCGGCACTACGTGCCGTGGATTTACCGCTATTGGCGAAAAAACCTCAGGGGGCGAACATCCGCTCCCGTCGGTGCGCGGGTTTAGCTCAATCAGGAGCGAATTGCCGAGGGGATCGTATGCAAATTCCAACCTTCATACCCTTAGTCGGGAACCGGGGTACAATTTAGTAGAAAACCAATAATTAGAAGCCGATTTAAATTGTCGGACCTATCGTTGTCAAATTTTTAAACTTGGGAAGAATCTGTAATCCAGCCACAGAAGGGAAACGTCTCTTAAAAGATGATAATTACGAGCGAGCGAGCGCAGCGAGCGAAGCGAGTCTTTTCAATGTAAGGGGAAAATCTCAGTATGAGCGGCCCGGCCCGGCCTGTAACGCTTTTGAGAGGCTTATATCTCAGCAACCGCTGGACCGATTGGCCTGCGGTCTTTTTTCTGGGTAGCCCCATCCCTTCTACCCCGTAATTGACTACTTTTGATACATCTCAGTGACCGTCGTGGCACGTGCCACGTGAAAAGTCAAGGGTGTTCAAGCTGTTTTGCAAAAGTAGTGATTTTGAGAGGCCCATATCTCAGCAGCCGCTTGGGCGATTGTCTTGCGGTAATTTTTGTAGGGTAGCTGCATCCCTTCTACCAAAAGGTCGTATACTCTTGATCTATGTGAGTGACCTACACTGCACGTGCAAAATGCAAAAAAGAAGAGGTGCCAAATTTTGTTCCCATTTCAATAACTCGGTAATTACTGGAGCGATTTCGCTGAAACTTGGCATACAGGTAGGCACCCACCAGGCAATGCATTCCCATGCGTTGCGGTTAGGATGCTACTGCACGTGCGCACGTGCAGGGGGCGCTCCCAGATCTCGAGAGCGGCTGGGCCGATTGCGCTCAAATTTGGTACACGGTTGGGGACCAGTTAGTAGGGTGCCGTGCAAAAGTCAGTTTGGACCCCGCTTGCACGTGCGCACGTGCAGAATGCCGCTTCCAGATCTCAGGAACGGCTGGGCCGATTGCGTTCAAATTTGGCACACCGCTAGCGACCGGTTAGAAGGGTGCTTTGCACAAGTCCCTTGGAAGTACCCTCTCGCCCTTCCGCACGTGCAGGGCTCACTACCTCGCTCGCTCGTTCTTCGCCCAAAAGGCGTTTTAGGTGTAGTAATATAATGCCGTAAGAGCCTTCCTATGTACTTTATTTGATGCAACATCCACATGCAATGATTGCGGTATTGTCAAATGTGTACATGAAATAACCCTGCAAACGCCACTTTCATATGGACTGAAATTCCAGCGCTACTCAGCGCCCAGTGCTATTTTCGGGGCCCTCGATAAGATTGAGTCCCCAGTCCAGGCTCGGCGGGCAAAACTGGAGACAGGTGTAGAGCAGGGTGTAGACTGTAGAGCACTTGAACAATGAGTCCGACGCGCCCCTGACGCCGACCTTTTGTCGGAACTGGTGCCAACGTGTGCGAGCCTGCTGAGTTTGTTGTCCCGCACCGGCACCGTTTCCAATCAGTGACAGCCTTTTCATGGCGTTGCCACCATAAGCAAATAAGCGACAGTTAAATGCGACTCATCAAAATAAACACCGCCATAAGCACGTGCCGAGGCAGATACCAGACACACCCCAATGGCACACCTGCAGAATGCAAATGACGTCTGTTGGGATGGCATCTCACGAACGCGCTGCCGGACACCGTGACCCGTCCGACTTCCACTCACCTGGCCTAACCAGCAGCAGGAGCAGCAGCAGCAGGAGCGCCGTCGGTGGCGGTACCACCTGCACCGGACCGCCGCCTCGCCCCGGCAGCCGTCCACAGGCCATCACCATACCCCCGCGCACGTGCCGCGACGCACTGCCTGCGCGCCGCGCGCGTGCACCACTGGAGCGACGGGCGCGCGCGCGCGCGAGTTGTCGGTCGCTGGCGCGCCGGCCAGCCAGTGGCGGCGGCGGCGGCGACGCACCGCGGCGGCCAGGTGTCGGCTCTGTTTACACGGACCTTGGCCGCCGGCAAACACGGCGCCGTTTATCGGCCGACGGCGGACAGTGCGCGCTGTAGAGAGGAGATCCGACGAGCGGCGGAGAGCGCGCGACCTGCTGACCGGCAGAGCGGCACGGCGCCGGTCACGGTACCGGCTGACCGCCAAAGCAACGCTGCACAATGTGACCGCAGCGCGCCACCTGCTGACCGGCAGCAGCCTGCTGCTGCCTGCTGACACGGGATCATGCGAAAACTGTTACATATCGAGAAACGGGTCCTCCCGGTCACTTTACCTGAGCTGTCTAACTGTCTAAAATCTATGTCATCTTCTAAGGCGTCTGGGGACGACGGCATCACTGTGGGAATGATGCGCATGACGTTTTCTGTGATAGGGTCGCACCTTTTAAATGTTATAAATGCGTCTATTACATCCGGAGTAATCCCTGTCTGTTGGAAAAGCGCTACTGTTTTGCCTATCTTTAAATCAGGTTGCGCAGATGACCCTTCTAATTACCGACCAATTTCGATTTTACCTACAGTGGCGAAACTCGCGGAGCGTGTTGTCTGTACGCAGCTGCTCGATTACCTGATAGCCCATGACGTCCTCTGTGATGAGCAACACGGTTTCAGGCGCGGGCAGGTCCACGGAGTCGGCGATGCTGGACGCTGTCAGTTACCTGACCAACGGTATTGACCAGGGGATGGTCGGCTGTCTCACGACGGCTGACACCTCTAAGACAGCGTCCAGCATCGCCGGCTCCTGGACAAACTAGGGTGGTACGGCGTTGACTCTCATTGGTTTGAGAACTGGCTGAGCGGTCGGTGTCAGAGGGCCCGAGGGGGATCTGGTGCCGCCGTTCCCGTGGACCACGGCGTGATCCAGGGCTCAGTTTTAGGGCCAATCTTATTTTTGATATTTACAAACGATCTTACCTCGTACCTGCCCGACAATAAGGTGGTGTTATATGCGGACGACGCACAGTTCATTCACCGGAGCGCACCAAAAGACATGACTGTCCTCCAAAACAGTGTCCAAAAACCACTCTCACCGTGCTAACAACTGGTTTGTTCAAAATAGTTTGAAGATAAATCCCCAGAAAAGTGACATCATCTTGGTTAGTTCATCTCGCAGAAGGCTCAGTACTGACTTTCATATAAAATTTGATGGTGCCACACTTCACCAGGCGCAGAAAATTAAAGTACTCGGTGTCGTGTTGGACAAAAATTTTACGTTCGAACATCACATATCTGCAGTTATTCGTCGCTGCTATGCAACCTTGGGCGGTTTGTCTAAAATGTCGCGTCGCTTTCCCGAAGAAGTGAAAAAACTCCTCGTCCAAAGTCTGGTTTTCCCACATATTTTGAACTGTGCCACTGTTTGGGCCGGGTGTAATTTAACGCAACGTAAACGACTTCAAAAAGTAATCAACCATGTGTCAGGATCGTGAAAAATTTGCGCCGCTTCGATCATATAACACCTCATCTGACCGACATGAACTGGCCCACAGTAGAGCGGCTCATCACGGAGAGAGACGTCGCCATGTTATACCGTACTTTGTCCAGCTCCTACGCACCAGACTCCCTCCGCGATCAGATCGCATACAGAGCAGAGGTCTCCGAAAGAGAAACTCGTGCGTCGCTGGGTGACGCTCTTCAGCTGCCTCATGTTCGTACGGAGCTTGGTAGGCGGTCTTTCCCATGGCATATGGAACTGTTTCAACATGGAACAAGGTGCATGCTGTGGACAAGGAGGCAAAGACATAATTTTATCGGTAGGCGCTAAAGGCGTTTCGCATCAGGATTGTACAACTTCAATTTACTCACCGCTTGGGGGGGGGGGGGGAGTCGCCACTGTTTTTATCTCTGTGTCATTTAGCATATCTTTACATCTCTTTAGTGTAGGTAGGTAACTGCTGTGTGTTTTTATGTTCTTACTGTAACTTGACACTTGACCCGAAAAGCCGTGGAGATGCGGAGGTTATGCGAAATAAATAATGCCGATGATGATGAAACGCCTGATCACTTTGGAATAATGAAAAAAAAACTTTGACCGAAGTCATGCAAGGAAAATGACATCGATTTAAATTCAATCGATGAATCCTTTGCATTGATATCTCTCGGTCAGGTGTGGGTAGCATTTTCTAGAAATTGTATCTTTAATAAAAGTACACTTCATTGGAATGATACTTATTTGGTAATTGTTTCAGGCTTTCATGAACACTACGAAATTGTAACGACCATCGAATCAATTGTAGGTAGGTTCATTTCACCATCATCGAGGTTATTCAAACATCGAGTTTTTTTTTTGCAGCTTCAGGTTATGCTAAGAACCTGACCACAAAACAGGGTGGTTTTGCTATTTTTATCTTACGTCGTATACGAATTAACCTGACCACAATTTCGACCCAAAAAGAAGCCATTTCGGAAATATTTCAGCTGTGTTTAAAAGATAAAACATCCTAGTTTTTGAAAATAAAAGAAAGAGCATGATAGTTGCAAACGTATTTGTACCAGATGAAAAATAGGAAAACTGTAATTATGAATCTCAGTTTCCCGTATTCTGTTTTTATGAACGTAAAAAATGAAAAAAATGGCAAAACATCTTTTTTATTTTGACTTATATAATTTTCAAACTTGTCAAAATACTGAAAATCTGATACAACTGTTTTTAAGCTATATACCTACCTATGTATCCTTTCTCTCTGCTAGCTTAAAAACTGGGCTTCTCAGGGCAAGTGACGTAGAACCACGTTTTGCATCAAAATTGACCGAAAATAGTCAATCTTACGTTATTTTCGGCCATCCTGTTGGGTGCGTAAAATTGATGCCGAAGGGGTGTACAAAGTTTGGTGGCTCTACCAGCCTCAGGCAGGAGAATGGAGATATGGAAGAAAGAAGACAATGAGGGCGTTTCGCCCCTCCCCCCCCCAACCCAACGCAACGCGGGTTAATAACAGCGGTTAGCTTTACGGATGGTTCGACGGATCGCCACCTCCTGTCCTTCGGGCCTATCGATTACTGAAGCTATAAATGCGCAAAAGAAACCAGCGTTTTGCTCATGAGAAGACGAAGCCGATTGGATTCAGTTTTACGGTCATGGATTAGTTATTATTTAATCTTGCAGGACAGCTTAAATTGACTCGAATTCCAAGAATATAAAGATGTAGGACGTTTTCTAGAGCAATTTGGTGACCTGATTTAGAAATAAACCTTAATCTTATTCAAAAATAATACCTATACCTATTTGGGTATATGTGGTACGCCGGGTTAGATCAGGTCAAGTCAACCATCAGGCATCCCGCCGGTTATTCTTAGTTCCAACGCGTTTGCCAACACTGGTACCTAGAACCTTCATGCGTTATGCGTGTTCAAAAAGGCTAAAGAAAGATAAAAATTGAATGCTGAAGTGAATGCAAATAGCTAAAGCAATGACAATATCCAAGTAAGTTACAAAATGTAGGGAAACCAATTAGGGTCATCGGAGGTTAAACCGCGCACCGAGGGGGATCCATACCAATTTAACCTTCCAGGCGGTGGGGGGGGGGGCATTTTTTTGCCCCCCCCCCCTTTAGTTTTTTCGATATATCTCGAGAACCGCTGCGTCGAACGTCACCAAACTTTCAGTACCCTCCCGGGAGCAGCTAGCGCACATGGTGACCAAAATTTTTTCCAAAGGCTATGATAGGTTGGCCGCTAATGACGTCAGAGTGACGTCATTTTTGCCATTTTCGACCCAAAAAAAAGGTTTCGCGGGAAGAGCTGTCAGACCTACAGCTTTAGAGATACAGAAAAATGTTTCAGACATAAAAGATGTGTAAATAAAAGGGCTACAAAACTGCTACTTTGGTTTTTCGAATTTTTTGGATTTTTACCCCCAAAAATTAAAAAATAGATTTTTTGAATATAATAGCCAAAAAATCCAAAAAGTTTTTTGAATTTCGAACAAACCGGATTATATGTGATAGCTCCTACCGCCTTCTATCTACATACCAAGTTTGAGATCGATACCTCTTTTTTTGGCCAAGTTATAGCGAAAAAACTGTTCAAAATTGATGACGTCAAATTTTCAAACTCAATTTTTAGCAATTTCTAGACCTCGTAGCGCAAAACAAAGACCACCATTAGACTTCCCGTGACGAGCTGCATCGAATCGATACCCATTTTATGCAAAAATATCAACTTTGAAATTTGACTTTTTTTTACCTGACCTTGACCTGACCTCCACCAGAAAGTGACCTAAACCGTACCTGATGGTCTTATAACCAACACCATTTAGTTGGAAATGAAAAACTGGCCATAAAACATGCATCGCATAACCTTAGTAAAGTTGGGCTCATTGGTGACCCTTGGTGACCTTTGGTGACCTGACCTGTGACCTGACCTGGTATGACCAGTGACCTCTAATAGCAACATATGTACTAGACAACTGACGCCTTATCGCTGATTTTCGACAAAATGCATTTTACTCGGTGTTATAGCGCTTTCCCTAGAAGCCCCGTGAACGGTGAAGCATTTTATCTTTGACCTGACCTGTGACGTCATCGGTGACCCCGAGGTCAATGAAATTTGGTTGCTCTTGGCAAATTTGACAGGGCTATCGAACGCCGTTTGAATTTTCCGGATCCGTCCAGTAGTTTCGGAGATACGGGGGGCAAAAAAGTGCCCCCCCCCCCCACCGCGCGGAAGGTGGCTGGTAGGCCCACCGCCTGCCGGGTTAACCCGCGCCCCGCTGGGCTAGGTATTCAGCCATCGCGCCCTGCTGGGGGGGGGGGCAGATTCTGCCCCCCCGTCTAACTTCCGAACCGATGGTCGTAGAAAGACGGTGAAAACGGCAATCGAAAGCTCTCAACAAGGCGGATCTTTTTTGCTTAAGTAGGTCAGAGTTCAGGTCAAGGTCAGGTCAATGGTACAAAATGCAAGTTTCTACAGTATCGGGCTTGCACCG